ACCAAGAGATAATCAAGGACGTAGAATCGTTGGATATAAAATAATTGATAGATTATTTAATCATTTTGATAAATCTTCTTCTGGTGGAATTACTCTTCAAGATGTTGTTACAGGACTTGGGGAAATTAAATTTGGTGATATGATGTCTCGAATAAAGCTTTTTTTCAATTTACATGATGGTGATCAAGATGGTTATTTATTAAAAGAAGAAATTTTACAATTATCCGAAAGTCTTTTATTTATCTTTCGTTTTAGACAAGATGATGGTCATCTTAGTTCGGTTTCAAATTTTATCAAGAATGCTTTTGAATATAGTGATCTTTCAATTGAACAAAAAGATTTAAAAGAAAAAGTTGAAAGTGTTATAGATGCAAAACGTAAAAGTCAAGAAGATGGTGAACGTAGAATGTCTTTTCCTTCTTTTCGTATGGTTATTTTAGCTGATGCTTATCTTGAAACCTTTTTTGATGTGGATTTTGCTTCAACTTTCCAATTCGTTGAACCACCGGATGAAAGACAAAAAGGTTTAGGACGTGAAATATTTAATGCTCTTATGACTGATGGAATGAAATTAGCTAATAGTTTTGGCAAAAGATTAAATAACCGTCGTAAATTACAAAGTACTTCTTCAACTGAACGTAAAAAATCTCAAAGTTCTAATAGTACATCAAGTGTTCAAAAATCAAAACGACCAAGTAGTGCTTCTACTAAATCTGATACTTCCGAGGGTACAACTTTATCTCCACAAGATGAATCTATAGAATCATTTGTTTCTATAGATTCTAGTGATGTACCACAAAATGCTTCCAATTCTTCAGATGAAGAAGACGATGGGCTTTTACAAGAAGTTGATAGACTTTTAAGTGAATATAGTATTAATGAATCTGGTAATTATATTCATTTCATTATTACAAAATATTAGTATTATTATTATGATCATTTTCATTAAATCATTTATTTTCTTTCAGAATCAATTCTAGATGATGAAAATAGTATAAATTATGATGATGGTAAATTATATTTAATTTGATTTATACTGGCATCGTCAATCAAATCATTTAAATAAATGATTACATAACTTTGCTTAATATCACTATTCATATCGCTATTCATATCACTGGTGCATTTATTAATATAGTCAACTCTTTTTAACCAAAATCGAACACTTAATAAATTCTGTCTAAAGAAAGTTCGGTTTAGATAACTTAGTACAATTTTTATTCATAATAATCTCAAGGTTTCGTTCGATACAAAGTTGACTGTATTGTATAGCCAAAATTTTAAATATCACGACACATTTGATTGACGACGCGTCATATAAACAATGAAAATATTCAACTAACGCGATCTACCATTTATTACAGTCGATTTCATGGAAGACGATGTAGATAAGTTACTTGAAGAAATGCAATGAATCTATCAATGATTTAATATTATTTGTCCTATATATTTGTATTTCTAATTTTAGTAGCTAGAACGAATAAATTTTAGCATATAGATATGTATAATATCTTATTTTTTTTTATTTTATTAAAATTCTTTATTATTAAGTAGATTAATACGTTTAAGAGGGATAAAATAATTTAAGAATATTTGGAACCATTACTTTAATATCTATTTTTCATTCCGAAGTAATGTGCGATTACTTTTATATTTTTGTTTAACACTGGGTTAAATAGAGCAAAGTTTTTTTTTAAGAAATGAAGCCAGTTTGTAATTAAACAATTTTATATTAAAATTTTGAATTAGTTTATTTTGTAATTACGATAAAAATTTAGAATGGTATCGCCTTAATGAATTATTATTAGCTTTAGTTGTAATGGAATACCACTAAGAACAAATGTTCAAGATTAACTTTTGTAACAAAAAATGTTCCTCTTTAAACAAATATTCATATTTTTAATGTTGGAAAATATATGCTTTAAAATTTTAAAATCTATATC